GTATTTGGGTAGTAGCTTTCCTGACCCCTGGCTCCTTACTAGATTAGTTTATTTCTAAACACTTTTTGCAGTTTGTCATTGTAAATATCTTCCTCAGTTGACTCTTATCTTCTGTGAGGGAATGAACTAGATTTTTTTGGTGACCCTGGTGCTGCCAGTCCTTGGTATAAGGTAGTTGTTCAATACACACAAACACACACACACTTAGACAACAGATTCTAGCTTGCACGCTTGGTAGTCAAAAAAATAGTTATTGTGTTTTATTCTTATCAAACCATCAAGTACAAGGAGAATACTATCTTTCATTACTGTGAAGGGAATCATTGCTTCAAAGTTCTCTACCTTCCAAGTTCTGAACCCTGAACTGCTTACCAAGCTATAAAGGGCTATGCCTAGTCACATGTCCACCATCATCAAATACCTCACTAACGAGAATAATTACCAATTTTTTTTTTTTTTTTTAATTTTGAGACGGAGTCTTGCTCTGTCGCCCAGGCTGGAGTGCAGCACGCACCCATCTCGGCTCACTGCAACCTCCACCTCCCGGGTTCAAGTGATTCTCCTGCCTCAGCCTCCCGAGTAGCTGGGATTACAAGCATCCACCATCCCACATGGCTAATTTTTTTTGTATTTTTAGTAGAGGGGGGTTTCACCATGTTGGTCAGGCTGGTCTCAAACTCCTGACTTAAGGTGATCTGCCCGCCTTGGCCTCCTGAAGTGCTGGGATTACAGGCGTGAGCCACCGCATCCGGCCATAATTACCAAATTTAAATTTGCAAAGATGGTGACACTTTGACACTTGATCCAAATCAGGTGCCCTTTTCACTACACACACACACGCACATACACACACAGTATGAACCATGCATTACACACTATGGATGATGCTTTTGTCACAAGAACAGTTTGCAGTCAGAGGTGGAGAATATGGAGCAGAGAAGTCTGGATAACTTGGGTTAAGGTTGATGCAGATTCAGTATTTCCTTCACCTAACAAATATTTTTGAGGATCAACATGCATTCGTTCAATCGCCAAATATTTACAAAGTCCGTACATATTCCCAGGCACGTGCCAGGTACAACACTAGACACAGTAATCGGTGATGAGTAAAGCAGAAATGACATCCCGTGCTTGTGGAGCTTACAGTCTTGTGAAAGGAGACAGAAAATAAACCAGGCAACAAGTAAATCACATAACAACAAATCTTGAGTACTATGAAGTGCTATAAAAGAAAGGGTCAGAAAGCCGTAAGAGAGACCAAGGGAGATCTGAAGAACAACAAAATAGCAGCCACTACTGAAGTGAGTGCTCTGGGCAGAGGGAACAGAGGCATTGTGCTGTAAGGGCCTGGGCCAGGAAAAGGTTTGTATGTCCTCATAGCTAAGAGGAGGCAGCAGGATTGGAGTGCAGCATAGATGACGTGTTGCAGGATGCGGGGTGACTAGTCGCTGCAGTTTGCTAGGACAAGGTGGTTTCTCAAGACACTGGACTTTCAGTTTTGAACCTGGGACAGTTCTGAACAGGGACCATTCGTCACTCTAGGTTCAAGATGGGTTTGAAGAGACTGATGTTGAATCTCTCCTGTTCAGACCTACAACTGCTCCAGTCAGTAAGCAGGGCCTGGGCTCCAGCGCTGTCTGGTGTTCCCCCTCTGCAAGTCTTTGTCCAATCAATCTGTGTTGCTGTTGAGCAACCCTCCCCACCGCTGTCTCTGTTTCTTTTCTCCATTCTAACAAATAGTAAATAGCAAAAGTGAAGAAAATGAGAAAATTAAAGTGATAATGATAGATTAATCATTACTTAAGAGGGAGAATACTAAGTAAAGGATGTGGATGAATTTTGGCTTAGAAACTCTGATCTTGTCCACATAGCTGTAAGTGTATGTGTGTGTGTACATGCACATACACATATGTGAAAGAGATAAACAAGTGATTTCTCCCTTTCTTCCTTCCTCCCTCCCTCCTTTCCTTCCTTCTTTCTTCCCTCCCTCCCTCTCTTCCTTCTTTCCTCCCTCCCTCCCTTCCTTCCTCCCTCCCTTCCTCCCTCCCTCCCTTATTTCCTTCCTCCCTCCTTCTCTTCCTTCCTTCCTCCCTCCTTCTCTTCCTTCCTTCCTCCTTCCCTCCCTCCCTCTCTCCTTCCCTCTTTCTCTCCCTCCTTTCCTTTACTTTCTTCCTCCTCCTTTCTTTATAATTAATGCCATTCAAAAAAGGAACTGAAATGGCTAATGGCATCTTATATTGAGTTTTATGCTTTTCAAAATATGTTCACACTACCTTCTTGAATCCCCACAATAATTCTACCAAGTAGGTATTATCTTCCACATAAAATCAAAAGACTATGAAAATTAAAATGACTTGTTAGACATCACACAGTAACTTAACAAAAGGACTAGGCTGGAACGCAGGGCTCCTAACTCCTCGACCAGTGTTCTTTTAAACACCGCCCTTTATTATTAGCTAGCTCAGTGACAGGATTTTGTAGAAATGATAGGTAAGCTTAAAGGCAGGAAATGTAACTGTGGCAGCAGTTCTAGGAAATGCTACAGTTATCTTCTGAAGCAGCCTGCCAAACAGCTCGGAGTCATGGCGGGCTCCCAAGGACAGTGTGAAGATTTCTCTTGGGCCTCTTCACCTGGTGTTAGGTTACCTTCATAATAACTGGGGTGAACTAGGCCCTCCACTGGGCTCTGACATTTCACCTGCCACTTGTGCACACTGAAAGGCATGACATTTCTTACACCTTTGAAAACATCAGGGAAAATCAAAGAAATTTCTCTCATTCTGAACTTTACCTCTGCTGGGCCAAAAGGTTTGCTACCAGGGCAATAATAAAAGCAAGAAAGGAGAGAGTTCCATAAAGAAGAGATAAGTGGAACAGATTTATGGGCTGAAATAACAATCAACCAATGACCACACTAGTTAAATTGCCTTCTTCAATACCTGCACTCTATACTATGCCTTTCTTATGTAAAGAGTAAACAAAACCCTTTTTTTTTTCTGTTTCAAGACAATCTTGATTTTCATTGTGTGTAATTAAGGAGTACAATGTGATATTCTTTGGATTGATGCACAATAGATACACATATTTTCAAGTCACGTGGGATAATATGTTCACATAATTTGTACAGATCAAGTCAGTGTACTTGGGATATCAATCAACTTACATATTTGTATTTTCTTTATGCTAGAAACATTCAAATTTTTCTCTTCTAGCTATTTTTAAATGTACAATAGATTATCATAAGCTTTAGTCACCTCACTGATCTTTAGAACATTATATGTTATTTCTTCTATCAAACCAAATATTTGTACCCATTAATCAACTTCTCTTTATCCCACTTCTTTCTTTGGCCACCCTTCCCGACCTCTGGTAACCACAAATCTACTCTCTTTCTTTATGAGATCCACTGTTTTAGCTTCCACATATGAGTATAAATGCAAAATGCTCTTTTAATATACTTATGCGTAGTGAAACAGTGACTGTAGTCAAGCAAATTCACATATCTGTCATCTCACGGAGTTAATCTTTTTTTGTGTGCATGTAACAAGAGCCCTTAAAATCTACTCTTTTAGCAAAAATCCTGAATATAAAATAATTTTATTAATTATGTTCTTTGTTCTGTACACTGAATCTTCCAGACTTATTCATTCTGCATATCTGCTCCTTTGTATAAAAGATAAACAAAAACTTTAAAATACTTCTCTCTTCTGTCCTTCCAAGCCTACTAAGCACGTGGCATCCTCCCAGATGGAGAACCAACTCATTCACACACATAGTTGGCTGTTGTTTCACTCAAAAGGAGTTGATTTGAAATTATCTGACTGCATTAACTGAATTGATAACCAGCTGATCATTGCTATAGATAATGGGATTTCTTCAAGGCATAGAGAAAGTCAGTAACAATCAGATCTAGAATTATGATTTTTTGACTATTCATATTGTAGGCCCCAGCCATCTCCAGTTGTGTATTCGTCCACAACCCATGAGCTGGCACCGGGGGATTGGCAGACCCTTGTTCCTGGAACCTCCCACTGGTTATCACACCTAACGTTGGAACACTGTGGTACAGTGAACTCTGATTCCTGGAATTGTTACCAGGTGACCACGACGTCATCAAATGGTCTGGCCATTCCTTCTA